AACTTCACGTGTGTCCAAATCCAAACCAGGTCCAGACTCTTTCTGTCTCTCTCTGTCTCTCTCTCTCCCCCTTTCTGTCCATCTGTCTCTCACTCTTTCCCGCTTTGTCTACTCTACTGTGTTCTACTGTCTGTGAACTCTCTATGAAACGCACAACATCCTGCATAAAGTGACTATCTGCATGAGTTAAAAGATTAGGCTCGGAAAGTTGATCTTGAAAAAAGAAGTTTAGTTTTATACTCGCTGAAAAAGTCAATCCAGACACAGTATTTGCCACAGTGACGGATACAAATATGAACCAAAATGATGTTGTAGTGTCAGAATTGTCTTAAAAACAAGTTGAATCCAGTCATATTTACAATGCAGTAATAAAAAAAGATAACATGACATTACCTTTTGCTTGGGATCCAAAATAAACACTTATATTTTACGAGCCTGGTGACAGATCAGTCTCCCTGTTTCCAAATGGGAGTGATTAAGAGGTGGATTAGCCAATCAGGGAAATTCATGGTCCACCAAGTACTAAAATGTTATGAATACTTTTTAAAAATTAGGAAATGCAGCTTTAAATATACTTAAAAGATCAATACAAAGCTATTTCTGATCTCTGTTATAATGTTGTTTCCTCATCATAAACAGACCTAGCGTTGTGTTTTGTTTCATTCACATGTTTAACACACACACCCTGCATACTTAGGCTGAAACTTCTTTAATACAGAAAACACTCTGTTCCACTTTGTGATGTCATGTGGTAATACAGGAAGTGCTACACTGTACACTCCTTCACTTGAATCATTTGGATAATTTCAGTCCTGGAATTGCCTATGTTTACTGAACTTGAAAACTAGATGTTAACTTGAAAACTAACGCTTCATGATATCACAAGGTAGAACAAAGCATTTTGAGTATAAAAAAGGTTTTAAAAGAAGCGCTTCCTGGACCTCCAGAGGATAATACACAGTAGATAGATAGTGGTGCTCTTTGGGAAGGGAAGTCAGTTAAACGGTGCAAAAAAAGATGCAAAAAACCCAAGGCACTCACTGGTTAAAATAAAATGCCTTTATTAAGTTACGGCATTTCTTAATGGACAATTTACAAAGTCCCAACGTGTTTCAGCCTATGGAATTTTGAGATGAGTTTTCAAGTTGTTGGATTACTCAAACGTGTGAATACAACAACAAAACACAACTCCATTTATGTTTTTGATGAGAAAACAACATTCTAACATGGCCAGAAGCTCACAAGAGTCAATTTTCCGTAATTTAAGCTCTCGAAATAAAGTCAATTCAAGTTATTTTTCCTCATGTATGTTAGTATATATGCAGTGCAGTGTGTATGTGTGTGTGTGTGTGTGTGTGTGTGTGTGTCTGTGTGTGTGAGTCTGGTCTCCGGGTCTGGTCCCCTTTGTGGAGCAGATGTGGATTTGACAGAGTTTTGGAGCGGCAGCAGAAGTCTCACCACATGGGAGTCTGAACCATGTAAAGTCTGCGTTGCCTGATACCGAACATGTGCTGATGTTATGCAAGGAAAAGCGCTCATCCACTGCACCATTATCTTTCCCGTGAGTGCAGTGGCTTCCCCCTCCCCAGACACCTCCTCCAGTACCATGTGTCACATTTTGTTTTCATACTTTATCTCTGGAGTTTTTATTTTGCGAAAGATGTTTAGCTTTACTTACAGAAGCAACTATATAAAGATGAAGCATATAGATTTTATTTATAAAACGAACTTTAACTGAATGAAGTGTGTCAGATTTTGAATAGTACTTTTGGTGGTGAGGTTTATAGACATTTAAAGGTCCTATATTTCGTAAAATTGACTCTTGTGAGATTTAAGTCAAGTTATAATGTTGTGACTATTGTAATATAGTCTGGGCAAGCACTTTTTCTACTACTCTGAACAATATATTATTGGTGCAAAAACGTTTTGTTCAAATTGCAGCTCATTCTATGCCACTAACATCGTCTGCTCATTTATTCACCAAACTTAACATTCTTAATATCTATGAGATTCATATTTATCAAATTCCCCAATCCCCAAACATTTCACATTTTATTTTAAAACCAATGCAGAGATTCATAAAACTCGTCAAATTCACAATTTTCATGTTCCTAAATTTGTCACATCAAGAGCTCAGTTTTGCTACGATACAGAGGCTATAAATACTGGAGCCACTTTTCACATCTGGTTAGTGACGGCAGATCAGAGGTGTTGTTTAAAAAGAGTCTGAGGAAAAGTTTGATATATATATATATATATATATATATATATATATATATATATATATATATATATATATATATATATATATATATATATATATATATATATTTATATATATATATATGCACAACGATATGTTCAAATCTTGTTGTATTATATATATTTAATATGTGTCCTTTTGGGTTTTTTGCCTCTTCCAGCACCTACTTTTGTGTTTCTTTCTATTGTCTTGTTATATGTGCAATAAGAAAAAAGAAAAAGAAAACATACCCAGAGTTGCGTTTTGTTTCATTCACACATGTTTGAGTAAGCCTTTATTATTAGTCTGCATTTCTTGTATCACCATATGACATCACAAGGTGTTTTCCATTTGAAAGAAGTCAGCCTGCATATGCACTGTTGATGTGTGAATGAAACAAAACACAACTCCAGTTTGTGAGGAGGAAACTACATTATAACCCAGATCAGAAATTAACATAATATGGACCCTTTAAAAACACAGTGGAGCACTTCCAGTATTATCACTTGATCAGAGTGTTTTCAGTTTGAGATACAACACAACTCAACTCCACTTATGTTTGTGATGAGGAAAAAACATTATAACATAGATCAGACACACATATTAAAAGGTCTAGATCAAGAGTCTCCAACCTGTAGCTCAGGAGCCACCAGTATCTCTCCACCACCTTCCAAGTAGTTTCTGAATCATACATATTGTGTTGAATAAGTAAAACTGAATTAATTCAATGCCTCTCACTATGGTAGATTTATAATTTTGATGCCTAACTTTATGCACTAAGAAATGGATAATGGTTTATCTTTTGTAGGTATCTAACTCAGGGTGATCAGATTTTCAAAATAAAAAACTGCGACATCTTCGGTTTGTGGTGGTTGGTAATAATAAATTTGTGAATCCAGTGTGTAATTAAGAAAAACTTTTCTGCACTCAGCCCATTTATGACTAACATGTGATTCAGTACAGTCACATTTTCTTTGCGTTTTGGTCATTTTTCAGCACCTTTTCTGTATTTTACTTAAACAAATTACAATTTATGCCTCTCTTTACTGTTGACAGGGATCAAATTGGTCAAAAATAGGGACACCTGGGACATTTCTTGTATAAAACTGGGACAAATCACTGGTTTTGGATAAATCCGCTGGGACAGGGGACACAGGGCTCAAAACTGGGACTGTCCCGGGGAAATAAGAATGTCTGGTCACCCTAATCTAACTGTACCTCTTCTAAGGCTCACAGAGGCTCTTTTATATACTAAATTTTTTGTGAATGCTAAAACTAGTAGCTCTCTGGCATTTTTGTTTTGTAATGGTAGCTCACCGGAGGAAAAAGGTTGGAGACCCCTGATCTAGATTAACCCCTGCATGATTTGGTTTTCAGAACAGTTGTTAAGATTTTACTAGTTTATATGATCTATTTCTTTGTTGTAAATTCAGAAATCAGATAAATATAACATGTCTATTTGGTGGGAAATCCATGTATATAGATTCAGAATCTTGTTGAAGACTAAGGTACCTGGTAAAAGGCATACTTCACTGGATTAAAAATAGTCCTCAGTTGTATGATGGGGCTGATTAAGACCCTCACCTCACAGCTCAAATGTCCCTCGTTTGACTGACTTTTGGAGTGGGGCTTTATTGTCTACAGTTTGCATGTTGTCCTTGTCTGGTTTTCCTCATCAACCAAAAAAATGTACAGTAGGTCAAATCCTCCAGCTGAAATATTCCTGACCAAGACTAGCTCCAGATCTGGCGCTATTCCACAACTGCCCGCTACTTCTGACAGGTTACCCCCGGCAACACTGAAAGATGGGTCAAATGCAGAGGATGAATTAGCCTATTATGTGATTACAGTATTTGTACAGTATTTTATGTATTATTATAGTTTTGACAGTATTATTAATAGGCTACATCTCTACACTTAGATACCTCCACTCTGTCTGTACACGCACACTGATTCAAGTCACCTCCATCTCTGCAGTCCAAAAAATAACTTCTTTGTCCTCCATATTTTTTTTGTACATTTCCTGATGTTTTATGCACTCCCCCTCCCCCCTCTGCCGCGCTCCTCTTCTATGGACACTCTGTTCGCTTTTGGGGTTTGTGTATGTTTGTGTGTGTGCGTGCATGTGTGTATGTGTGTGTGTGTGCGGGTGAAAGGAGGAGGGAGGGGGAGAGAGGGAGGGAGGGGGGAGAGGGGGGCCTGTTCTATAATCACCAATCACAAAACAGAAAGGGGGGGCGGTGGTCGTCATGGAAACCCCAATTGCTTTTTTATCCATACATGTACAGTCGTCGAATTGCGTATTGCATATTGCATGTTATGATTTATATGGGGGAAAATGAACCAGGATAGGAGGAGTTACATGTGTGTGTGTATATATGTGTGTGTGTGTGTGGTTGGAGAGGGAGAGAGGGAGGGAAGGGGGGGCATTTTTTGTCTGGTTGTCATGGCGATGGGGTCAGATTTCCACGTTAAGTGAAAATGTATATATATATACACTATGCTATAAAAACAAAGACGACTCCACCCAACAGGCCTACTACTGCGTGAAGTATACTCTGCAGACTGTGCAAAGAGAAAGATAATGAGATCCAATATGTCTGCTGCCAGAGATAATCAAAAGTGCAGAGGAAAAACAAATACATAATAATAAGGATGTGTTTCAGATGACATCACGACACCCTGTGAGGTTTAAAACCACAGTATGAAAGCTTTTAGTCAAAACACTCAAGTAAAAGCATGGTTGTGTTTATTGCATTGAAAAGCATTTGATTTTACTGTTCCATTTTGGTGCTGTATCAAGGGTACTCACTGCCAGCTCAGTCCTGCATCATCAGAGGTATAATACTCCCTACAACAGAAACATAGCTAGACTGGAGTGGACAACACTATCACAATGTTTGGAGGGTCCATGTCTCCAGGTGCTGGGTCTAGTACTGGTGCTCAATTTATACTTTGCAGTGACGTCACGTTGGGGGTGTTCCACATGTATCTCTATTGGCGAAATGTTCATCAGTTACCATGGTGACACAGTGTATACATTAACAAACAGACAAAAAAGTTTTTCGATAGTATGTGGTTTTAAAGGTGGGGGTAATAACTGCAGCACGGGTAATTCTTGGTGTATGGAAGAATCCTTCTCCTCCAGACTTTAACAGATGGACAATTTGATGAAAATACTCTCCTATGAGACATTATTGGCTTGGTTGAATGATAACATGGACATTTTTGTAAAATCTTGGGCACTGTTTTTGATTGAAATGCCTTTGACAGGTTTGATTGCTCAATTGTCTAAAACACATTTAAAACTGGTACATTGACAAAAGTCTTTGTTTTTCCACTGTATGGATGTGGTATCGGCCTTTTTATTTAGAACTGAAATTACTTGTATTTGTATCAGGTTAAATTGAATGGAAATTAGAGAGTTACGGAGGCTTGTCACATGCACTTTTACTTTTGTTATGGAGTGCACTTGCATATGCATATATACAGTTAAATTTGTTGTTTTATTCCTTTGGCCCAAAGTAATGTGCTGCTGTCTGTTATATTACATGGTAAAAACTGTAAAATAAAATAAAAACTTGAATTACAAAAAAAAAAAAAAAAGAAAAATTTTCAGGAGCTTGTGATCAGTCTGAGTGTTCATGGTTCTGTTTAGCAGTTTGATTTTCAACAAAAAGTTAAGAATGACTGAAAAACTAATGATAGTGAGCTTGTGACTGTAAAGTTACGTGTGAGAGACTTATTTAACAGCACAAATCACCAAACCTGCTGTAGTTTCATCTAAGTCAACTCTTTCTGATTGTAAGTGGACCAAACAGAAAGGCAAAGACAAGGTATAAAAATAAATTTAAATTCAATAAAGTAAAAAAAGGAGATAAAATTAAGAAAATCATGAACAAAAAAGTCGGGCCCAACTGGGGTAACTCAGATCAAACTGAACAGAACAAAACTAACCCAATCAAACAAAGGAACGAGGATGTGTAAATACTTGAGGACCAACTAAAGCTAAACACAAGAGGAAGGAAGGAGGGAGGAATTATATTAAAAAATTAACTAATCTACTAAGTTATCAAAGTAACAAAAAGGCAAATAATTATAATACAGAAAATAATAAGTAATAATAAAGTGACCTTAACACAAACTAAACAAACTAACTTAGTAACACTAACTAAATAGTGTTCCCTCCCTCCTTGTTGAGTCATGATGGTTTCTCCTGAGGGTCCTCTGTCTGGTGCTCAAAAAAACAAAAAGAACAAGTGTAAGTAAATCAGACTTACAGTATATTAACTAAAATGTGTGCACTCAAACTAGAATATAAGTCTAAATAAAGGAATTAAAGTATGTGTAATGTGATTAACTTAATGTAAATGAAATTAAATGAAATTATACTGACACTATGGAGTGGTGGCAGAGGTATCCACCACACTGATTAAATTGTATAAAAAACCTATTAGATTAAAGTATAATTTGAGTAACAGAGCTGCAGACAGAGTGGTGCCTACAGTTAGCCTCATACCTCCAGGAAATGTTGATGACATCAGCTGCAAAGTATCAATAAACCTGCGTTAGAACTTCAGCCTCATGTCTCTTCTCTTCAACTCTCAAGCTACTACAATGTATTCTTCAACACTGACTGTGAGTGGGCTTGCATCTCCACAAACCTGACTCTTATTCAACCTTTGTTCCATAAAAATATGGTTTCTTTGGCTATAATATTCTACAATATGGCATAAAACGTATCTATCTCCATGGAGAATGTTTCAAATTATGGTTTTAACTTTCTGTTTCCGTATCATATAATCATGCAGGTGATGTGGTACCTCCAGAAAGTTCCATACTGTACCTTTAAATAGGTAAGGGTTTGGTGACTACAGTGGGATAAAGTCACCAGTATAAATTACCATCAGCGTTCTTCACCTTTTGTGGAGTTTCCTTTTGGATATTAAGAGGGATACAGATTACTAGGCCCTATATTTATCCAAAATGAGTCTGATTTAAGAGAATGTAAACATGATTCTCACTTCGTGGACAGTTAGTGGTTACTTCTTGGTTAGAGTCAGTTGAGCTATAAAAAAAAGAGAAGAAGAACATTAACAAGTAAACAATAAGCCGTGGAACAACCTGATAAGTGACTACTGGTTAGGAGTGGGCGATATGCCAAAAAAAAAAAAAAAATCATTCCACGATTTTCTTGGAGCCAGATCACACTTTTGATTTATTTGCAATTCACATTTTCTTAATCTTTACACCATGTCTGCGAGGTAAATAAAGCCATCTGCTGTTTCTGAAGGTTCACTCTTCACTGAATTACAATAAGACCATTTCCACAAAAGCGCATAACCACACATGGATGAAATCATGACTCGATCACCACTTCGCCCAGTCCATCTGCTTACACTACACTCTCAGAATACTTTTGAATTCTAAGTTTAGTATTAAGCGTCGTAATCATGAATCATATTTAGAACCAAGTTGGACAGCTCATAGTGTTGGCATAGTGTCAGTGTCTCCCAAAAGCAGCTCTCAACTATGTGGGAGATCATGGATGTTGTTTTAAAGATTGGCAAAACTTGTGTGGTGAACTTAAAGAACCTATATTATTCCAAAAAATGTATTCTTGTGAGCTGCTGTTACCTCCTCAAAAACATACCCAGAGTTGTGTTTTGTTTCATTCACACATGTTCGAGTAACATTTCATCTCCAAAGCTCAAAATGCTCTGTCCACAATCCGTGTTCATTCATTTTTCAAAATAAAACCAAAAATAAGAAAATAAAAAAAACAACAGTTTTCTTCATTATTTGTCTCCAAAACCAAAATGAAAAAATTGGATAATGATTTTATTTTATTTTTTTAAGTTTTCGATTTTGTGTTTAAAAGGCCATTTCCTGTTTCTGTGACTTAAACTGTGATGCCGGACTGAACCAGGACTTAACCAAGACTTAACCAAGACTAAAACAGGACTAAACGAAAACTAAACTGTTTTCAATCCTGGTCTGGTCCTGGTCTGGTCCCAGCGTCAGTCCTGGTCTGGTCCCGGTTTGGTCTCGGTCTCAGTCCCGGTCTTAGTCCTGGTCCTGTTCCCGGTCTCAATCCTGGTCTCAGTTCTGGTCTGATCCCGGTTTTAGTCCTGGTCTCAGTCCTGGTCTGGTCCCTGACCTGGTTTAGTCCTGGTTCAGTCCTGGTTCAGACATCACAATTTAAGTCACAGAAACTGAAAACATGAATCGTTCTCTGTTTTTTCATTTTGGTTTTGGAGACAAATAATGAAGAAAACTGTTGTTTTTTTGTTTTCTTATTTTTTGTTTTATTTTGAAAAATTAATGAACAAATGATACATGGATTGTCCACCTTAACAACTTCCTTTTACATGAGATGAAACAAGCCACTACAATATAAAAGGAACCTACATGTTTTAAAAAACCCAGACTCAGAGCCAAGGTTATGGACACTAATGTGAAAAGAGGAAACTTAACAAAGATATAAAAGAATCAAGTACAATGATGGCATTTTAAAAAAACACAAAAAATCAAAAGCAATGTGTACGTATGAAAAAGAAAACAAATTTGTTGTGCATAATAATGAATATTTCTGTTTGCAGTTGTTTAATAAATGTGCCTGAACTGAAATGTACAGATTTAATTGTTTTAAAGTAACTATTGGTGTTAATGTTTTGTCTTGAAAAGAAAAAAAATGGGCAGATAACATAAGACGACTCTTCTTTCTGCTCCTTTTCATTCATTTCTTGTATGTTTGATGTTGTGACACTGTTGACGTCTTTTTATACTTTATGAAATAAATAAATAAATAAATAAAAATGAATAAATAAACCTTTCTTTTACTAGAGGTGGGAAATCATCCAAATGATTCTAGTGAAGGTGTGGAGTTTAAAAACACAGTGGAGCACTTCCTGTATTACCACATGACATCACAAGTTGGAGGTGAGTGTTTTCTATTTGTGTGTTAAACATGAATGAAACAAAACACAACTCCAGGTCTGTCTGTGATCAGGAAACATGATAACATCAATCAGAAAATAGAGCAATATGGGCCCTTGCTCCATTTTTGGCAACACTTGATTTGAAATAGATAAATCCGATAAAACATTTAAAGGATGGGTAACAGCAGAAGGCCATCACAAATTCACATTGTTCAGTCTGGGTCTCAATAATTTACATTTGGAGCTGGGTGGAAGGGGGAAGGGGCTGGGCTGATGGAGGGAGGTGAGGCTTTGTTCCTGAGTTTTTGATCAAATCGCTGCAGCAGACCCCAAATCTGAATGCAGTTTCTCCGATAAACCGCACTCAATTGCAATTTCTGCTTTTGAATCTTGATTTGCATAATACAATTTGATAATGAAATGTCCAGCGAGCCTCGAGGTAAAATGCTGTAGATTCAAATGTAATTTACTGGGAACAATGTCACAGTTGTTACAGGTTAAAGCAGGGTTGTATTTGTCACTTAAAGGACCCGTATTACACAAAATGATTTCTTGTGAGCTGTAACACATATCTGGAGTTCTGTTTTGTTTCATTTACGCATGTTTGAGTAATCCTGCATTATTAGTCTGTCTACATCTCCAAAGGTCAAAATGCTCCGTTCCAGTTTGATGTCATGTAGTGGTAGTTTTCAAATTGGCAATTCCAGGGTTGAAACTATACATATGATTCTAGTGAAGATGTATGGAGATTAAAAACACAATGGCGCACTTCCGGTATTACAACATGACATCACAAGGTAGAGCAGAGTGTTAGTGATGCAGAAACAACATTAGAAAATAGATCAGATTTAAAGGTGCACTATGGAAATTGTATAGAAGAATCACAGGAAATGTTTCACAGTAGAAACTATAGTTTGCCAGTTCATATTGTTTATTGTGTATTGTGAATGTAAACCATAAATTGCAGTTCTGAGCAGTTTCTTTCTTTTGTCAGAATTGCAAACAAAATATGGTCTCCGAACTTCTCAATCTGTTTTTATGAATTCATTCCAACTACGCCATCTTGTATTGTCATGGTCATGGACTTTGTATGGCGGTAATGTTTTACTGAAGTGTGGCACTGACTAAACTTAGGTGTTTTTTGGCCGAAAGGGTAAAGATTTTATTCGTTTTGGCCTTTCATGCTCACAGAGCCGGCATTTCGGGTGGGAGAAAATGGTGTTCCAGAGTGGAGAAATCTAAGAACGCCGGTGTTGTGTTGTAGCCTGATTCATCAGTCTGACCTCGCAGCATTAGAATTCTTTCGCTCGATGGTAGGTGGGTGCTTTTTTTCATTTGACCAATCGCTGATATTTAATCGTGATGTATGTAATGCGCCGCTAACGGGGCTAACTGGTATATTAAGCTTTTTCCAAATCCCGTAGGAAGAAGGACAATAACGTTTTTTCCCATGATAAAATTCACCAAACATTCTCGTTGTTCCAGCTTTAAATCCTCGATCTCGGGAATCATTGCCAACACTGAATATATGGCTCTTCGCTGTTTGGCTGGTGCCCGAACTCACACTTCTCACAAACCATCTAGTGTATTCCGATTCCTGACCTAGTCGCTGGAGACAAATGAAATTGAGTGGAGGCACTAGGTGGCGCCAGCCTGGCTAGTTGCGTTGTAGTGTGGAGAAGCATACCACAGCTTTTGGAAAATGATAACATCACGACCCCGTCATCGCCACGTGAGTTTGTTTGTTGCGGAATAGGAAGGACTTTATGTGCATGCACTCTGTAGTATTGTGTACAGTGGCTCTGGCTGTATCCTGTTTACAGCACCACATACAGGTGTGGCATGTGTATTATATCATTTTCATTCCATGTTCTATTGTCGTCTGGACGTGAATATTTATTGATCTGACACGTGTGGATGCAATTTTTTTTCAACCCGCAAAATAATAAAAAAAAATATCCAGGAGCGTTGTTGTATGGATGTACCCAAACGCATCACTGTAGAAATTGGGGTCAGGTTGGGAAGGACATCTGGCATAAAATAATGTTTAAAAATGTGTACTTTCAAACAGGGTTACAGCTAACAATTATTTTAGTAGTTGACTAGTCAGCGACATTTTATTTCGATAAGTTATCAAATAGTCAAATTGTTATTTCTATTGTACATCAAGTTTAAGGTGCAATTTATTATCCCTGTAGGGAAATTAGTCCTCTGCATTTGACCCATCCTTCAGTGTCTCTGGGTTAAACCTGGTCAGGACTAAATCAGATGGAGGATTTGACTTCTGGTTTTGGAACTTTTATATCAGCCAAAAAAAGTAAAGGTTAAAATATGGTGACTGGAGGCTTTTAGATAGAGAATACTTAGAAATACAGTGATATTTTCTTTTCTTCTTTTCTTTTTCTTCTTCTTTTTGGACATTCCAATTTCACTATCACTGTCTTTGTTACAACAATTATTTATTTATTTTTGTATGTGCTTTCGAGTCTAGACAAAGATTATGATTACAAGTACGATTATTATGATTAATCACCGCAACCCTACTTTCAATCTGGTTCTTTTTGCCTCCAACTCAAATGATCTGCACCGTATTTGAAAACTGTACACAAGTTGGCTGTTCAATTCCCATAACCTATCTCCTATACTTACTGTAAAAGAGATATTCTATTGTGTTGTCGCCCATTCAAAGCTTAACACTCATTTTTTCCAAATTGTGGTCTAACCCAGCACCCACATACAAGCCGAGCGACAGTCCTTTCCACAGAGATTCAAATGGAACAAATGTCTTGCATATTACTGAGTATGAAATCGAGAATCACATATTTTTCGCCGCTTGGGACGAGACATACTGTACCATATTAAACAGGAAATCATAGTGACGAGCACGGGAGAGGGGGAGGGGTGAATGCAAAGAAAAGAGAGAATTAGCCCTGCGCGATTATTATGGGATGGCAGAGACTGGTGCACAGAGGAGGAAGTGTGTGTGGGCGGTTATTTATGCCATTGCGGGGACTCAAATCTGTATGCGATCTACGGCTTGAAAGACGGGAAAACATGTAATTGCGATTTTTCCATCTCGAATTGAGATAGCGAAGGATTCTGTCCACAGTTCACATTTAAAAGCTCC